CCATTACCTTAAACGGGCAGTAAAAAGATCCAAGGCCAGATACTTTTTTCCTCACTTCACAAGATGCGTACAGAAGAGAATCAACCCCAAATAGATGGGACACAATCAAAACTATCACTTCATCAAGCACATAAAATGTATGTATGAAAAAATTTCCAAAGTAAGCATATTTATTTATTTTATTTTTGAAAAAAAAAAACTAACCTTGGTGGAAATAGTGAGGGTGGGGTGGTGTACGTGGTCATCGGAAATGACAACGTAATCGGCCAAAACGACGACGTTATTCTGGATTTCCTCCGACACACACTTGGTCCCAGTCGCCGGCAAATTCAACCATATGGCCTTGCTTCTCTGCAAAACACACAGCACAATGAACATGAGCCCTCCAAGAACGTTAGAAACCGCCCCCATCGCTTTCCTCACGAACTCCAACTGATCTTCGTGTGTGATTATAGCAGTTATACGTATATGAACGTATGTGCCTTCTGATCTTGAAAAATGGAGTTTCTGTCCGGATCAAACAGATCGAATTCCACAGTTTCTGATTCGGGCTGCCTTTTTCTTTATTTTAATTTTCCTCGGTAATAACGGGTTGGAAATTTGGAAATACAATTTGGTAGGAATTTTCGGGGGAAGAATTGATTTTTGAACAGTGATATGATGGGAAATGCGTGGTTGAAAAAGAAGAAAAAAATATTGATGTGATAGAAAATATTATTTTATTGAAAAATGTGTGGTTGAAAATGAGAATTGATTTACTGTAAAAAATGAAAATCTGTACTAAACATGCTCCAAGGATTCTGCTTGACTTTTTAATCATACATTTTTTAATAAAATAATATTATACGTAATTTTAATTTTTTTTCTTATTTTCTAGCTACAAATTTTTGAAAAATTACTATTCCAAAATATATTTAACATAAAATACATTTTTAATGGAGACACGGACTTAAATTTTGTCTCAATTTAAGCGACTTTATTCAATAATATCGCATTGTTTAATGTCACGTTCTAAAGCGATCGTTACATGATAATAAGTATCATTGGTGACCGTAAAAACAATTTAAAAACATTACATTTGTGTATTATTCCACGTTATAATGATTTGAATAATAATTTTTTGAAGAATGTATGGTTAAAAAAGAAGGAGTTTTTTTTGAATTTACTTGTAATATTATTTCATTGGAAAATGTATAGTTGNGAAGAATGTATGGTTAAAAAAAAGATTTTTTTTGAGTTATGTGTAATATTATTTTATTAAAGAATGTGTGATTGATAAGAAGGAAAGGAAAATGAATATAATTTAATGAGAAATAATGGAGGCCAAACGAAGGTTTAAAGCCCACTGAAAACATCCCAAATCCAACTGAAATGTGCATAATATACAATGATATACACAATATTCTACAAGATTAGATATTATAATAAATAAAATTAAAATTATAATTTTTTTCAATATTAGTTCGAATCATTTGATAGAATTTTGAAAAGTGAAAAACTGTTTTGTAAAGGCGTGTTTGGTAGAGATTAAAATTGAATTAAAATTGAAAAATTAACCGCTATTGTTAACTTTTATTAAACGAGCGAGATCCAATAACGATTATATTTTCAATTTTAATTGAAAGCAATTTTTGAATTTTTACAAGCATTTCTTGTTTAGAAAATTTTTGGAGGAAATTTTTAGGGAAAATTACACCTAAC